GGGAGCAGCCGGGGCTCGCCGCGCCTGACGCGTCCCGAGTTATACAGGTGCGGGCCCTGTACCGCAGCCCTTGGTGGTCTGTCGCGCGCCGCGTGACTCTTGCATCCGCCCCGAGGCCTATCCTCCCCTCGTGGCCGTAGGTCTGGGAACCCGGGGGACTGGGAACCTGAGGGAGGGCGCTGAGCTTGCCCCGGGGCTGAGGGGGCTCCTTCCAGCTCATTGGTTGCCAACGTCTTTTATGAGCTGCGCGCAGCATATCCATGTGCAGCCTCAGCTTCTAGATTGGCCCCCAGTCCCTCTGAGCTGATTTTCTGAGGCTCGAGCTCTTAGCCTGTTTTCACCGTCCTCCAGAACAGCTGGCGAAGCTCTTCCTTTTTTGTGGGGACTGGAGACCTAAGCTCCCGTTAGTGTGCATTTGGGACTCTTTTTTTTTTTTTTTTTTTTTTTGAGACGGAGTCTCGCTCTGTTGCCCAGGCTGGAGTGCAGTGGTGTGATCTTGGCTCACTGCAAGCTCTGCCTCCCGGGTTCACGCCATTCTCCTGCCTCAGCCTCCCCAGTAACTGAGACTACTGGCACCTGCCACTGCGCCTGGCTAATTTTTTGTATTTTTAGTGGAGACGGGGTTTCACCGTGTTAGCCAGGATGGTGTTGATATCCTGACCTCGTGATCTGCCCGCCTCGGCCTCCCACAGTGCTGGGATTACAGGCGTGAACCACTGCACCTGGCCCCCAGTCTCGAGGTTTTAAAGAGTTTGGAGGGTAGTGGGCTAAGGTATTGATTGGTCAGAGAATGAAGGATGAAGTCATAGGACAGAGAGATAAATCACATTCTCATGCTAATGTGGTTCCTTGATGGGGTCTTAAGACTAGCTTTTATCAGCTCAAAAGTCTTAGGCTCCTAACATTAAAAATACTATCTATAGGAACATGGTATATATAAGCAGGTACAGGAAAGTGGGTCAAAGGGTAGTCTAATTATGCTTATCTGTACTTTTGTCTAAAGCCTGACTTCTTCCTAACCTTGTGATGAAGGCTTTAACAGTTTATCCACGTTTTTTTTAAGTAATAAACTGTACTGTAATCGATTAATAATTAGATTAATTAGATATAATAATTAATTAAAACCTAGTACCCTTAAATCTACAAGCATAACTGTTCCATGGCTAGAGTTATTCATGCCTCAGTTCTTTGGGTTTTGACCAATAATTGAAATTGATTGTAGTTATATATTTAGGTGGGATTGGGGGTATCACAGCTACTTACGACATTTGATAACTTATGTCTTTTGTAGATTGGTCACCTGAAAGCAGTTCAACCTCTGATGAATTAGAGTAATATGTGATTTTTTATTGTTTTATTCCAACATGACAGTGATCCCTTAGATGTACTTTTCAGATGAGGTTCTGGCATCTAACCAGAAATGACCTTAAATGTTGAGAAGCCATGTAGTTATGGGACTATAGAATACAACTTGTCTAAATACTTCATATATAAAGTATGGAAAAATTAGCATATAGTAGTAGGAAACATGGAATAGGTGGTGCGGGACATAATTACTTGTCGCATCTCAGTGGTTTCCTATAGTGGTAACTGTCAGTCTGTGACTAAAATGTGATAATTGCAGTTGTCTGAAAGAATCAGATCTAAAACACCCTTTTATGTTATGACCACTTATGTACTTACCAATCTGATATAATTACTTGACACCCTTGTAAGGATTAATGACTTACGTGTTTATGGTATTTTTATTCTAGTTTTGAGTCTGGAAGCTGACCAGAATGTGTTTGAATTCATACAGAAATAATGTTGATATTTGGAACCCATGTCGAACTTCTATGAAGAAAGGGCAACGATGATTGCAGCCAGGGATTTGCAGGAATTTGTTCCTTTTGGTCGAGACCACTGCAAGCACCACCCTAATGCTTTGAACCTTCAACTTCGCCAGCTGCAGCCAGCCTCTGAATTATGGTCTTCTGATGGTGCTGCTGGCTTGGTGGGATCCCTTCAGGAGGTTACAATCCACGAGAAACAGAAGGTTCCATTGAGTTTCCCATTGCGTTTTTGAAATGTAGAGTGATATAATCTACTTGTAATTTAAGGCTACTGAGAGGCAACTGAGAGATCAGTGTGATGCCACTTCTAGGGTAGAGTTAAGGTGTGGTAATTTCAATACATGTTGAAAATAATGACTTTATTATATTGTCATAGCAACTTATTTAGATACCCTCTATAACTTGTGATTTTATAATGTGAGGTTCAGTAGTATGATTGTCCATTTTAAACCTTTTTCTTTTCTCTTAGTATGTGGGGACCAGATTTCATGTTATTTAATGATTAAATGGTAGAGATTAGAAATAGTCCCTGCTGCAGAAGATTTACATGTTTCTAAAGGAGAGAAGAAATGCTACAAAAGTAGGTAGAGTAATCATTTTTTTTTTTTTCTTTTCTGAGACGGAGTTTCACTCTTGTTGCTCAGGCTGGAGTGCGATGGCACAATCTCAGCTCACCGCAACTTCTGCCTCCTGAGTTCAAGCGATTCTCCTGCCTCAGCCTCCCGAGTAGCTGAGATTACAGGCATGCGCCACCATGCCCAGCTGCTTTTGTATTTTTTTAGTAGAGGTGGGATTTCTCCATGTTGGTCAGGCTGGTCTCAAACTCCAGACCTCAGGTGATCCGCCCCCCTCAGCCTCCCAAAGTGCTGGGATTACAGGCGTGAGCCACCGCGCCCGGCCGAGGAATGAGTAGTAAGTAGGGGAATGAGATGTAAGTGTGTGTCAGAAAATGTATCCTTCCTGCCTTATTCCATTTTCATATCCCTTTGGGATACTAAAATCTCAGGAAGGGAAAGCCTATGTAGTTAAAAATGGAAACTTCTTCTTATCCGTTCATTTTGGTGGGTGGGACAAAGGAAAAGAAGGTAAATATATATGTGGCTGCGAAGCAGGAAGTCTGCCTTGTTCATAGATTTGCCGAGTGATTACCATGTGCACCTCACTGTCCTTTATCTGCCCTACCTCATGTACTTAATATGTCCTTTTAGTCTCCCAAACATGTGATTTGACTTTTGGAACGGTAGAGAAGGTGTACTTTTTGTTCATTTTTGTTTTTGGCAGAGTAATGCAGAGGAATAATATAAAACATTCAATATAGAGAATTATTGAGTAAATTCTTCATGAAATTCTGTAATGTAATGCCTATATCCACATCCTCTGTTAAACAGTATACGAAACTTTCTAGTTGTGCTTACTCCATGGGCAAATAAATTTTGTTCCAGATTTTTGAAAAACAGAGTGCTTGAATATGTTTTACATGTGTTAATTTTTAAGGAAAGCTGGCAGTTAAGGAAAGGAGTGAGTGAAATTGGAGAAGACGTGGACTATGATGAGGAACTCTATGTTGCCGGAAATATGGTGATATGGAGCAAAGGAAGTAAAAGCCAGGCATTGGCAGTTTATAAAGCGTTTACAGTTGACAGTCCTGTTCAGCAGGTGAGTTGATTTGAATTTTAGCGTTTGATTCACTATTTAATGCAATTTAACAAAATTTTTATTTTAAAATTTAACAGAAATGGTAAAACCAGCATAATGATCTCAACAGCTGGATGTACATTGTAACATGACATAATGTAACGTGAAGATAATGGCAGGAAAATAAAAATTTAATTTTATATATCATTACTTTTTTTACACTCTCCTTTGTCACTTTAATGATAATCTTTAAACACTCTGTCCTTAAGTAATTCAGTTTGTTATTGCCAGCAAAAACTTATAAAACATTAGGGGTACAGAAATATTTTAACACATGATTACTATAATTGATTGCAAAGATTTGAATAAATAAAAATTGTGGGGTTCATAATGATAGAGAGAAAGGAAAAAATCTGCTTTGCAACCATTGCAGTTGGCTACTATAACTGTTCTGAAAGTTGATAATGAAAGGGAAAGAATTAAGCGTTTGCCATATTTTTTCAGGAAGACATGCAGTTCATCTCCATTTGATGAAGGAAAACACTTACAGAAGAATGCTAGCTAATAAATGTAAAAGGAATTGTAGAATTAGAAAATCACCATTTTGTAACCTCCAGTGCAATAATTGATTCAAACAAGGATTGTAAATGGGTACTAACACTGTTGATCGAAAGAATATTACCATGGCACCAACATACCACCCTGTGGATTACTTGGTAAATGTGAAGGAACAAATGTACCTCTACTTTGGAGTTATTTGTCAGTCTCCACCTCAATCAAGTGATTGAGTTTAGCATAATTAATAGTGACATGAAGGGATATTATGTGCTTCTAGCTGTAATGCGGAATGAAGTACATGATGTCATCCACTAAGTTTTCTTCCCCAAAATATGAATATTTAGACCTAACTTCCTGTTTAAGGAAATATAGGCACTAGAGGATTATATTTTAAAATATCATGAGATAAGGAAATAGATGAGATAGGAATGGCTAAAGCTTGATTATTATTTATTTATTTATTTTTTGAGATGGAGTCTTGCTCTGTTGCCAGGCTGGAGTGCAGCGGCGCTATCTCGGCTCACTGCAAGCTCCGCCTCCCGGGTTCACGCCATTCTCCTGCTTCACCCTCCCGAGTAGCTGGGACTACAGACGCCCGCCACCTCGCCCGGCTAGATTTTTGTATCTTTTTTTAGTTAGCCAGGATGGTCTCGATCTCTTGACCTCGTGATCCACCCGTCTTGGCCTCCCAAAGTGCTGGGATTACAGGCTTGAGCCACCGCGCCCGGCCTATTTCAACTTTTCTTACTGAAATTTTTATAACAAAAAGTTGGAGGAAAAACTAATGCATTTATAGTAGTTGAATTAGGATTGACAAGAGGTTTTGGAGGCTTTGACTAATGTTAAGTTTCATTTTTGTAAATACTGAAATCTTTGTATCTGGACACTGCTTCCTTCCACTCCTCCCACCTGCCATTAACTATTTCCTGGTGAGCATTGTGTTCTAACTGTTTATTGGAAAGGATAAACTGAATCATTATTTCAACATTTGAGGGCGTATGTAAAAGCATTTGTCTCCTGGAGTGTTGAAGCCAGTGATCTTTTTGATGGTAATTTTTTTCCCATATATATCATACAGTTAGTATAGATGTGAAAAGTGCATTTGATGATATCCAAGTAGTTCTTTGCTTCTATATTTTCATCTTAATTTCTCCAAGAACAGTTGCCTATTTACTAGATTCTATGGAAGTACAGTTAGATGTATTATCTCCTTTATCTTAAGATCACTTGTAAGTGTAATTGTAAGATTTGGAATTTCAGTCTTGTTATTTAATTTTCTTGCTAATATGGAGAAAGGTAATTTTCTATTTTGTCTGTGAAATAATACCAGGTATATATGACTCAGATTTTATCTATTCATTGTTTTACTTATCCTGCAAGTATTTTTTTTTTGGTGGTTCTTTTTATTTTTTCATTTACTCTTTTTACTTTTCAATAGAGATGGGGGTCTCACTATGTTGTCCAGGCTGGTCTTGAACCCCTGGGCTCTAGCGATCCTCCTGCCTTGGCCTCCTAAAGTGCTGGAATTACAGGCGTGAGCCACTGTGCCTGGCCTTCTGCAAGTATTTAGTCTCACTCTGTTTCAGATTATGCTGGGGCTACAAAGGTGAATGTAGTTTCTGCCATTGAAGGACTCATAGCCTAGAAAGGAGAACAGACAGATCAACCGAAATGCTATATTCTGAATGCTCTGTAATAACTGCATGTCCACAGAGTGATGAGCGCCCAAAGGACTGCGTGCCAAAGGGAGGGTTTTTCAAAGAAGATGCTATTTGTATTATAAAATGGTGGCAGAAGGGCATTTTAGGCAGAGGAAATCGCAGCAAAAAGAATTATGGAAAAAGACTTTTTAAACTTCAGAATGGCTGTACACAAAGTGTGGGTGTGGAGAGATGCAAGTGGATGCTGGCAGGATACAGACCAAAGGGTCTTGTATATAAACCAAGGAATTTGGATTTTAATCTGTATGCTGAAGGGAGCCTGCTAAGGATTTTAAAATGGAAGTGATCAATTTTGTGTTTTGAGAAGAGATTGCTTTGTTAGCAATATATATATAGGATTGACTGGAGAGTAGGGAGACTGTTGTCAGGGGCACTATTTTGTGATTGTTCAGGTAAAAGATTGGTGCCTTGGCGAAGAAGAGGTGATAAAGCAGAGGGAGATGTGGGAGGGGTTAGTTACCTCTTAGATATCAGGGATAAAAGAGATATTAAAATATTTACTTTTAGAGGCTGAGAGGATGGGATTTCATGAAAGGAAGTTGAGACTGTAATAAGTGCATTGTAGATTTTGGACATTTCAGGTTGGAGCACAGCTCTCATGCACGGTTTTCTTCATGAATTTTCATTTCTTAACCATTAAAATCTCCCACAACTCAACAATAAAACAAACTACCCAATTAAAAAATTGGGCAGAAGGACTTAAATGGACATTTTTCTAAAGAAGGTGCACACATGGTCAATAAGCACATGAAAAGATGCTCAACTTCACTAATCATTAGGCAAATGCAAATTACAGCCACAGTGAGATACCACTTTACTAGGTTGGCTGTTATTAAAGAAACATAACAAATATTGGTGAGGGTGTCCAGAAGTTGGAACTTCTTTGCATTGCTGATGGGAATGTAACAAAGCTGCTGTGGAAAAATTTGGCAATTTCTCAAAAAGTTATACATATAGCCAGGCATGGTGGTACGTGCCTGTACTCCCAGCTGTTCAGGAGACTGAGGCAGGAGGGTCACGTGAACCCAGGAGTTCTAGGCTGCTGTGAGCTAGAATCATGCCTTGCACTGCAGTTTGGGTGACACAGTGAGACCCCATCTCTTAAAAAAAAGTTATACATAGAATTACCATTATGATCCGGCAGTTCCACTTCTAGATATATGCACAATTGAATTGAGAACAAGGACTCACAGATACTTGTACACCAGTGTTTACAGCAGCATTATTTATGATAGCCAAAAGGTAGAAACAACCCATGTCCATTGACAGATGAATGGATAAATAAATGTGGTATATGCTAACAGTGGAATATTGTTTAACTTTAAAAAGGGATAAAATTCTGATACATGCCATAACATGGATGAACCTTGAAAACATTATGTTAAGTGAAATAAAACAGATACAAAAGGACAAATGTTGTACAGTTTCTCTTACTTGAGATACCTAGCACAGGTCCTTTCATAGGGAAGGTAGAATAGAGGTTATCAGAGCTCAGGGCATTGGGAAATGGGGAGTTACTGTTCAGTGGGCCTGGAGTTTGTGTTTGAGAGGAGGAAAAAGTTCTGGAAATGTGCAATATTTTACCGGCTCACAAATTGTACTAAACTCGTCAATTTAATGTTGTTAATGCCACTGAATTGTCTACTTAAAAATTGTTAAAATGCTAATTTTCATATTGTGTATATTTGACCACAGTTAAAAAAAAAACCAAAATGCTATTAAATAATTTAATAAGTGATTGTCAAGTATGTCAGTTAAAGTTTAATAGCTTTTCCTAGTTTATTGTAAGATGGGCCTTTAAGAAAGGGAGGAGTTAATTTTTCTAAATAGTTTTTCAAAAGTCAGTCTAGAGAGAGTCTAAGAATAAGAGCAATTGTTTAATCTAGAGATTATAAAGTTTGAATAATCTTTAGTTTTGTATAGGACGTAGGGTTTAGTATGGTTTGAGCCACTATTTGAATTTTTGCTGCAAGGTTTCTCTCTGGCCGGTTTTTTGAATCTGCTCTTTTTGTAAAATTTATTTTTTTACTTTGAAATTTCAATTCTTGTGGATCTTTTCATAAAATTTAATTGTAAACATATCTTGTCTTTCCTTATTATATTTATCATTTATTACTGTAATTTATTTTTTCTTCTTCTTTTTGTTCCCATGATTGTACATGTTGAGCTGAGGAGGCAAAGTTACTGCGTAGATGCTATTATTATTATTCAGATGCCATTAGTTAATAGATGATTATTTAGATATAATTTTCTTAGGTAAGCATTTTGTTTTGATTTTAGGCATTGTGGTGTGACTTCATTATATCACAGGATAAGTCTGAAAAGGCCTACAGTAAGTTTCTTTTTGAAATTTTATTTTTCTTATGATGATTCCAAATGTTTATCTCATTGTATTTTTCATTCAAATGAAGTAGCCACTAGTAATAGTGGTTTACCATAAGCATCTTTATATTGTGCATTAAATAATTTGTGCTGTAAGGATTGAACTCCTTTGGGGGAAAAAAACATAAGTCTTGTTGTACCCTTTCTTTTCAGGTAGCAATGAAGTAGAAAAATGCATATGTATATTGCAAAGCTCATGTATTAACATGCATAGCATAGAAGGAAAGGATTATATAGCTTCCTTACCATTTCAGGTAAACAAGTGTTTCAAATTTTGGGGGGGTTTTGTTGGAGAACATTTTTGAATTAATTAGTTTTAGAGGCATGTCTTATGTTTCATGTTTCATAGTAGTCAAAAATGTTATTTTTACTCAAAATAACTAAATTTTGGCAGCTTTAGTGGCTTACCATTTTTCTGTACTTCACAAAAAAATAAGTTATTTAATGAAGTGAATTAGGAAGCCTTCTGTGGTATGTGTTTGTCGGTTTAAATGATATGTAAGAACTTTTGGTTATATTAAATAAGGCATATGAATAATATTAGTCTTTTTTTGTTACTTGTCGTCTTTTTAATGCCTAGTGCTATTGTTAACACATTGTCATTTTGTTCCTGATACTGGCCAGTGGCAGGAATTTCACACTGAGCAACTCCTCTTTATTAGATTTGATTTTATCTTAGGGTTGCTTATTTGAATTACTTTTTAAGAAAATGCTGTATTTAATGATTATGTTACTTTGTAAAGCTATTAGTAAATTGGAAAATAAAACATTCTGTAATGTTTCTTTAAAATATTTTATAAAGGGGTAGGTTCTCTTACTTCTGTCTTTTCCCACCCTTTTACCTGAAAGGTTGCCAATGTTTGGCCCACTAAATATGGATTGTTGTTTGAGCGAAGCACTTCTTCACATGAAGTACCTCAAGGTTCACCCAGGTATTCATTTTATTCACTTCAGAATATTACTGCTTGGGATTTGTGTGTGTGTGTTGGTTCTGAGGTTTATCTAAAAGTTTGAGATGATGATAATTTTCATGCTAACAGTGTAGATATATGCCATTTTCTCTCATCTCAGTACAAGTTGAGTATCCCTGATCCAAAAATCTGAAATTCTCCAAAAACTGCAACTTGTTGAGCTCCAGCGTGACACTCAAAGGAAATGCTTATTGGAGCATTTCAGGTTTTGGATTCTCAAATTAGGGTTGCTCTCATCAAAAAGATAATACATCATGATCAAGTGGGTTTCGTCTCAGGGATGTAGGGATACACAAGTCAATAAATGTGACACTTCACATAAACAGAATTAAAAACCATGTGATCATCTCAATAGATGCAGAAAAAAGCATTGGATAAAGTTCAGCATCCCTTGATGATAAAAACAAACTAGGCATAGAACGGACTTACTACAAATTAATAAAAGTCATATACAACAAACCCACAGCCAACATCATACTGAATGGGGGAAAGTTGAAGGCATTCCCCCTGAGAACTGGAAGAAGAGAAAGATGCCTACTTTCACCACTTCTGTTTAGCATAGTACTGGAAGTTCTGGCCAGAGCAATCAGGCAAGAGAAAGAAATAAAGGACATCTAGATTTGAAAAGAGAAAGTCATACTATCACTATTTGCTGGTGATATGATTATATACCTAGAAAACCCTGTAGACCCCTCCAAAAGACTCCTAGATTTGATAAATAAATTCAGTAAAGTCTCAGATTACAAAATCAATGTACACAAATCAGTAGCACTGCTATACACCAACAGTGACAAAGCTGAAAATCAAATCAAGAACTCAAGTCTCCTTTTTTTTTTTTTTTTTTTTCTGAGTTTTGCTGTTGTTGCCAAGTCTGGAGTACAATGGCGCGATCTCAGCTCACCACAACCTCCGCCTCCCAGGTTCAAGCAATTCTCCTGCTTCAGCCTCTTGAGTAACTGGGATTACAGGCATGAACCACCACGCCTGGCTAATTTTTTGTATTTTTAGTAGAGACGGGGTTTCTCCATGTTAGTCATGCTGGTCTTGAACTCCCAACCTCAGGTGATCCGCCCGCCTTGGCTTCCCAAAGTGCTGGGATTATAGGCATGAGCCACTGCAGCTGACCAAAAAGTCAGTCCCTTTTACAAGAACTGCAAAAAACCAAAAACAAAAAACCTGTAAATATATTTAACCAAGGAGGTGAATGATCTCTATAAGGAGAACAACAATACACTGCTGAAAGAAATTGTAGATGACGCAAACACATGGTAACACATCCCGTGATCATGGATTTGAAGAATAATATTGTGACAATGACCATATTGCCAAAAGCAATCTATAGATTTCACCGTAATTCTCATCAAAATAAGATCATTTTTCATAGAATTAGAAAAAACAATTCTAAAATTCATGTGGAACCAAAAGAGCCCAAATAGCCAAAACAATCCTAAGCAAAAATAACAAATATGTAGCTATCACATATACTACAAGTCTATAATTTCCAAAACAGCGTGGTACTGGTATAAAAGTAGGCACATAGACCAATGGAACAGAATGGAGAACCCAGAAATAAAGCCAAATACTTGTAATCAACTGATCTTTGACAAACAAGCATACAAAAACATAAACTGGGGGAAGGACATCATCCTGTTTAGTAAATGATGCTAGGAAAACTGACACCTTTTTTAGAAGAATGAAACTGGATTTTTTATCTCTCACCTTATACAAAAGTCAGGTCAAGAGGGATCAAAGACTTTAAAAGCCCTGAAACCATAAAAATTCTAGAAGATAACCTTGGAAAAAACTCTTCTGGACATTGGCCTAGGCAAGGAATTTATGACTAGAACACCAGAAGCAAATGCAACGAAAACAATAAATAAGTGGGACCTGATTAAAATAAAAAGCTTCTGCACAGCAAAAGAAATGTCAGAATAGACAGATAACTCACACAGTGGGAGAAAATATTTGCAAACTCTGCATCCAACAAAGCACTAGTATCCAGAATATATAAGGAACTCAGATCAGCAAGAAAAAACCTCAAAAAGTGGGTAAAGGACGTGAGTAGACAGTTCTCAAAAGAAGATATACAAATGGCCAGCAAACATGAAACTGCTCAGCATCAGTAATCATTAGAGAAATGCAAATTAAAACCACAGTGAGATATCACCTTACTCTTTCAGGAATGGCCATTATTAAAGAGTCAGAAAAACAATAGATGTTGGCATGGATGTGGTGGAAGGGGAGTGGTTATACACGGCTGGTGGGAATGTAATCAATATGACATCTGTGGAAAACAGTATGGAGATTCCTTAATGAACTAAAAGTAGATCTACCATTCAATCTAGCAGTCCCGTTACTGGGTATCTACCCAAAGGGAAAAAAAAGTCATTATATGAAAAAGACACATGCACATGTATGTTTATTGCAACACAATTCACAATTGCAAAGATAGGGAATCAGCCTAAGTGCCCATCGACCAATGAGTGAATAAAGAAAATGTATATAGTTGGGCGCGGTGGCTCAAGACTGTAATCCCAGCACTTTGGGAGGCCGAGACGGGCGAATCACGAGGTCAGGAGATCAAGACCATCCTGGCTAACACGGTGAAACCCCGTCTCTACTAAAAAATACAAAAAAACTAGCCGGGCGAGGTGTCGAGCGTCTGTAGTCCCAGCTACTTGGGAGGCTGAGGCAGGAGAATGGCGTGAACCTGGGAGGCGGAACTTGCAGTGAG